CATCCATCCATCCATCCATCCATCATCCATCCATCCATCCATCCATCCACCAGCCATCCATCCATCCATCCATCCATCCATCCATCCATCCATCCATCCATCCATCCATCCATCCATCCATCCATCCATCCATCCATCCATCCATCCATCCATCCATCCATCCATCCATCGGAATCTGGAAGAGAGAATACAGCTGCACAAAGTGATTTCACTATCGCGTTGTGCGTAAAAAAGTTGCTGAAACTTTAACCACAACCTCTAATAAACATCTGAACATCGCTTAGACTTGCTTCAAAATGTAATTTTTGTAATCTCTTGTCAAGCGCCTGTTGACGACATTAGACATGTCACGATTCCAGTGTTCGGTGAACACATTCAACGGGTGAATGTCATTTAGTGTGAATGTCATTCACTGTGACCATGTAGCAGCTAATGTCATCCGCAAAAATTGACATTACAGCTGCCGTGTGACAGGGGTATAAGTGCGGTGTCATAGAGCATCAACAAAAATGAAGCCTGCTGTGGACTTCAGCCCTCGGATGTTCACGAGCGCTTTGAGTTGTCGGAGGGCTCTTGTCTCACCGGATGCTCGGACAGGAGTCAGATGACGCAATCTTAAAATGTATGCCTGTTTCTGAAGAGGCTTCTTCTCGAAACGCTGATGTAGCGTCTTTACAGCATCCTCATAACATGCCTCAGTCATTGGAAGACCGGCAACAGCTGAAATAGCGTCATCTCAAGAACTCTCGCAAATAATGGAACTTCTTTGTCGTGGTCAGAGTGGCGTTGTTATGGTCAATGTGGGCAAACCGCTCCAAAAACCCCGACCATTTACACGCATTCCAAGAGAAGGGCGCAATCGTCAGTTTCGATCGCCTGGCTCCCGTCTTGTCTGATGGTGTAACGATTGTATGCGTGACCATCACCGATACTTTTTTCAGCTAGAGTGCTTAAAATGCGTTTCCGCCTGCTTAGCAGCTCAGCCAGGATTCGCGTCGTGTTGTCCTCGTACTCAAGCAAAGTGTCATACACGGCTTGGAAGTCCTAGTTCGAGATGAGACTAATTCTTTGATGATCTTGCTTAACTCATTATTATTCGTTTTCAGCCTCTCGTAGACTGGATCGAGGGGTTCATGCGTCGCAACGTCATTGCGAAGTAAGGCACTTGGATGATCCCGCTGTTCAGGGATCGTCGTAAAGTCCACTTCGCTTTAAGCTTGTCATTGTCTTCCAGGCCACTCGTTGCTTTCGGCTGGACTATATCGGTCGGTCGGCACCAAAATGTTTGAGATATGGCGTGTAGCGGCAGTGGAGGGCCTAAATTGTGTTGAAGTCTAGAGTTAAAAAGAGGCTTTCATTTACAATGCAGACGCTATTAAGACCCTGCTACTACATTGACTACCGCGTTTCTCCTCTTATGCTTGCTAGCCCTTCCTCTTCCGCAACTGTCGGTCTGCCAGCACTCATGATGGAATCAACATCATGTCGTCCATTCGTCCCTACACAGTATATTCTATCTATTCCCTAAAGAAGAAGTGGTCCAAAAGAGCATGCCATAAAACGGTCTGGAACACATTTACAGGACTTCAATAGATGCCACGAAGAAGAAAATATTGGTGACAGTCCAGAATAGGGCAGTTTTTGCCAGGAGGACCACTCTCTCTTCAAGTCCAGTTACAGCCATTACGTCCATGCAAATAAGCACGACAGCGATTGGAGAAAAAAGGTGATGTCGCTAGTATCGCAAAATATTTCTGTACCGTACATTCCGATCGTTGTATACTTTTTCGACGAGCTATTTAGAGACCAAATGCAATGTTGCAATATATATGAGCCTAATAAAAAGTTCACTCCTAGATCTGGCACGAAGGTGCCTCTAGGGCCCAAGGACTCTCAGCTGCCATCTAGGGGAGATGATATTATTCCTCTGAAAGTTGCCATTTAAAATAAAGTTGTTTTAGGGGCGAAGCTCTTTAAAGTGGTACCCGTTCATCCCTGGCAGTCGTTGTCGTAGTCGTAGTGTGTAACCAGTCTTACCTTTTGACCTGCAAGGTGGTGCCGGTGGGAGATTTCTCCTGTGCGTTGTTGAACAATAAAAAATTCGCAGAGTGCGCGTTTATTGAAAGCCGAATTCTCCTGTATCTCATTCACCATAAGCAACCATTGCCATGTGCATTGAGCACTTTCTGGCAAGAAAGGGTTGCTATGTTATATTCACTGGGCGTAACCTCCTTGTTTTTAGAAAGGTTTAGCGAGCGTTAAGCCGCAGTGGCATGAATACAGTGAACTAGTATATACCATGAACTCGAGGTGGTTAAATGTGGGAAGTAGACACGAAGCGCAAGCCGTAAAAAAGTGTGCGTGTGCCACCTCTCGTTTAGTCCTTGGAATGTGCGCTGAATGTTGCTGCTCCTGTGTTCGAAATATACGATGAAAAGATGCGAGATAGGTGGTACTTGGGGTGTTTACTAGATTGACGAAAGGACACACACACAGACGCATGGACGGACACTTAGATGGCTACACGGACGGATGGAGGCATGAACGGACGCAGGGGCGGATGCTTGGACGACCGCAGAGACAGACGCGCAGATGGACCTGCGGACGCACGAACGGACGGGCGGATGGACGTGTGGATGGTCACACAGACGGACGCATGGACGGACGTAAGCAAGAACGAATGGACGGATAGCTGCTTCGACCCACTCTCCATCATTCACCACGTGGGTGTGCAGCCAATTTTTTCTCTCTCTCTCTCCTCAGTACTGACGATATTTGGCTATCTATATTTTAGCCGCAATATAGTTTCGTGGAATTTAAGGAAGAGGAACGTTCGGGCAGAGTTCTTCTCAGTATCTGTTGAAGTACATTTGGGTCTTTTAGAAAAGAAAAAGCCTAACATGTTCTGATTCTCAGCAGTTCAACATGAGACAAAACACAGGGCAAAAGACAAAGCAGAAGGGACGGCATGCTTTACGGGTATTGCTGAATTTGGAACTGCGGAATTTTTTTGTTTTTTTTTGTTTTTTTTTTGTGTGAAGAACAGTGTAAACGGTACTAAGCAGGAAGAGAGCAGAGCACAATGACGTACGCACCGCAAGGACATTAGTTCGTCTGAAAGTAACAACAAGGGCTTACTTGAAGGCCACCAATGAGTACGGCAGGTTTGGAACCTCGTATTTCAAATGAAAATGTGTATGCGGTGACTTAGGCAAATAATAATAATTATTGGGGTTATCACGTTCCATAACCACAATATTATTGTGAGGGAAATCTTAGTAGAGGGCTTCGGAAGTTCCCACTATCTGGCGTTCCATAAGGTGAGCCTAAAGCGAAGTACATGGGCCTCAAGCATTTTCGCCACCGTCGAAATTGCGGATGGGACGGCCATGAAAACTCTTCGGTTCATCACTGGAGCACCGTAACCACTAGAGTGCCACGACCAGTGGCGATTCAAGCATCGCGCTTGATTGGACTGTTTAGTGCATGACAGATTAAGAACAAAAGAGCGCCTAATGAGTGCCCATTGCCAATTCCGGGATATAGCTCAGGTGACGACGCACGCACCAGATGCAAACTTGAAATATACTCGTTTTGCATTTTCCAACCACTCCATGCCTCTTGTGAGACGAACTATTGTGAAAGGCAATAATTCAGGTATATTTTATGAAAACAGCAAAAAAGACATTACTTGTAGCGAACAGTGGGAGCACATGCTTGCGGAATTCAAGCGTCGGCTGGCGTCTGTCGCGGCAGTCATGGCGTGTGCGCTCGCAGCAGGTGTGACAGAAAAAAACTTTCAGGAGTCGAACAAAATATTAAGTGTCTCAATAACTCGGAATTGATTGTTAATTAGTTGTTAAATAAGATTACTTCATTAATCAGTCTGTGGCTTGTAGTGAGCCCTGCTTTTATTTTGATGAGATAATCTTCTATAGAAAGGTTTACAAGACCTTAACAGCATCCTACAGCATTGCTCACAAAAATTTCCCAAAAACAAAAAAATGGCATGCAGTGTGCAGCAGGGGTGGAAAAAATGGCAGCATATCCACAAAGTGAGTGATGAAGAGTGGGGCGAAGCATCCGTCCATCCATTCGTTCTTGCTTCTGTCCATCCATGCGTGCGTCTGTGTGGTCGCTCAGTGCATCCATCCGGCCGTCTGTGCGTGCGTCTGTTCGTGCGTCCATCCTCTGCGTTCATCGATGCATCCGCTCCTGCGTCCGTACACGCGTCCATCCGTCCGTGCAGCCATCCGTGCGTCCGTATATGCACCTGTCTGTGTGTCCATTCGTCCACCTATTCAAAACTCCAAGTACTACCATCTTGCATCTTTTCATTATATATTCCTGATATAGAAGCAACGTCATCCATCGGACGTTCCAAGGACTGAACGAAAAGAGGCACACGCGCACTTTCTTACAGCTTGCGCGTCGTGTCTACTTCCCAGCTTTAACGACCTCGAGTTCATGCTGTATACTAGTTCACTGTATTCATGGCACTGCGGCCCAACGCTCACTAAACCTTTTGAAAGCCAAGGAGGTTACACCCAGCGAGTAAAACGTAGCAACCCTTTCTGGTCAGATAGTGCTCAATGTACATGCCAATGGCTGCTAAGGGATAATGAGAGACAAGAGAATTCGGCTTTCAGTTAATGCCCACACTGCAATTTTTTATTGTTCAATGACGCACAGAAGAAATTTCCCATCGGCACCACCTTCGAGGTCAAAATTTAAGACTGGTTACACACTAAGACTCCTACTACTACTACCTACGAGGGACGAATGCGTGCCGATTTAAGCAGCTTCGCCTCTAAAAAAACGCTGGCCTTAAAAATTCAACGCATGGCAAGGGGGACACACCGGCATGGAGATTGACTGTGTGCTCTGGGACTACATTGCGTAAGCGCCGTGTCTTCGTGTGTAGGTTCACTAGCGCTGTTCGCTAAATGCAAGCACAAAATAAACGGTGGCCAAGTGCCGCACCGTCCTGAGGGAAATACCTGGAGATACTCCTGGGCGACGCCACGATGCCGTCGTTCTTGGCGCGCAGCTGCACGTGGTTGGAGGCTCGCTGTGGCGGAAGCCGATGGTCGAGCGAGGCCGTCGGTGAGACCCTAGCGTGCTGGTAGCCCTGCGGTGGCGGGACGTGGCTCGCCCCTGACCCGCCGCCGTGCGGCCGGCTCGCGGCCCGCATCGACGACCACATGTTGCCGAACAGGGTGTGGTTGCGCTGCACCGCGGCAAAACTCCCTCCTGTTTGCAACTACAAGACAAAAGTCTAGACGCAGCTGCGCACAAAAATGCAGTTTAAGAAGTGACCAGTTCTAAAATCCACTTGATATGCATAACGCATACTTGAGCTGCACAGTTCCAGCAGTCAGTGCCCCACTTCTGCTTGCTTATTGCAATTACTGTAGAAATTACTTACAAGTAGTGATCAAGAATTTCATGCTGATTTCAATATATGCCCATATGTCTGGTTACCGTGAAACAGTCTTTTTTTTCTTCTGAAAGCTTGCAAGTATCTAACGTGCTGGCTTGGGCGAGTTGGTACGACATTATTCACATAAAAAACAGCGCCAATAACGAGGGACAAGAAAAGAAGGAGACAGACTGCGGTACTAACTCACAACAAGATTTATTTGCTGGAACCGCACAATATATACTTCGGCAGTCTCTGATAAAAAAGGAAAAAATACAAAACAAATAAAACAGAATCCACCTAACAACCGCGTAATCATCGCCACAACGCACCATGAACAACACGTGTGCTAACGTTCTGAAGGAAATCTATTTCTTTTTGTGATAGCGCCATCGAAGGCCTGCTCACACATGCACTACCCAGCCTTTCTATTTTTGCAGCCTCATAAATTTCACGTATCATCTGGTCCCGATGATGCCTAATGACGGCACAATTATGAAAATCGGGGACACAACCGCAGTCTTGGCAATGAATGCCGAGGTGGCCCAAAACTGTAGAGGACATAACGATTGTGAAGATTACTGATAAGAACTGGTACAAGATCGGCGAGCGACGTCACTCAGTATTGACACTGAGAAAACTTGTGCGTTTTGTTATTTGGAGCAATCGACCGTCACACACCTCTAGAATCCAAATGAAATCGCACCAGTAATGACGGAAGAAACCAGGAAAGCCTTGTAAGGAATGAAAAGAGGCAAAGCTGCTGGTGAGAATCAAGCAACATTAAACATGCTGAAAAACAAATGACTGGTTGTGTTCGAAAAAGTAGCCACTCTGTTTAATAAATGTCTTCTGACAGGGAAGGTACTAGAATATTTGAAGAATTATCACATCACCTTGTTCTAAACAAAGGGCACGACAAGGACTTCAAGTATTACACGCTGATCAGCTCGCCCTCGGTCCTATAAAAGCTGTTTACAAAGGTATTTGCTAACAGAAATAAGACAACTATAAAATTTAATCAAAGAAATAAGCAGAATATTGAGCAGGCTCCTCAACAATCGATCCTATTCATACTATCTTCGAATACACCTAACCACTACACATGTCCTTCATAGATTACGAGAAGGTATTTGATTCAGTGGAGTTATCAGCAGTAATGCAGACATTGCAGAATCAGGGCGTCAACGAAACATGTGTAAACATCCTGAAAAAAAAAACCTACAGAGGATCAACTGCCACCAAAGTGATTTTTAAAGAAAGCGATATAATACCATTAAAGAGGGGTGTAAGACAAAGTGACACAATCTTCCCAATGCTATTCACCTCGTGAATACAAGAAGTTTACAGAGGATTAAAATGGGAAAAGTAAGAGATAAGAGCTTAATTGAGGATACCTTCGCCAATTACATTGCATTGGTAAATAACTAACAGTACGCATTGCAATCAATGATTACTGAATTAGAAAAGAAGGGCAAAATGGTTTGTCTTGAAATCAATCTGCGAAAACGAAAGTAATGTACAACCACCTCGGAAAAGAATAGCGCTTCGAGATATGCAAAAATGCATTTTAAGTTCTAAAAAAAGAGTACCGTTTACTTAGTACAGGTAGTAACAGCGAAGTCGAACGACGAAGATTGAAGTAACAAGAAATATAGGAATAGGGTAGAGGACAATCGGCAAGCACTCTTAAATCATGACTGATAGATTGCCTCTATCCCTCAAAAAGAAGAAATATAGCAGCTGCATCTTACCGGTACGTACGTACGCAGCAGAAATCTGGGGGCTTACAAAGATGGTTCAGCTTAAACTGAAGACGACGCAGTGAGCGATGGAAAGGAAACTATAAAGCTATAACCTTAAGAGACAAAAGAGAGCAGAGTGGGTCAGGCAACAAACCAAGGATATCATGGTTAAAATTGAGAAGAAGAAATGGATATAGGTTGGTCATTTCGCACGTAGGCTTGGTAACCGCCGATCAACAAGGATCCCAGACTGGATTCTAAGAGAAGGCAAGTGGACGGCGGTGGGGGACACAGAAAGTTAGGCGGGCAGATGAGATTAAGAAGTTTGCGGGCATAAAGTAGCACGAGTAATCACAGGACTGATTGAGTAGGCGAAACGCGAAAGAGGCCTTTGTCCTTCAGTGGTCGTAGTCAGGCTGATGATTATAATGACGATGACCTCTACCATACATATAAAAAGCATGATACCAGTTCATTGATGAACTGGAGTACGCAGTATTCAACTCATATTATCTCATGATGTTGTGCTTATGTTAAAGTATGGTTTTGGTATGTAACACCGGTTAACCCATCAGGAAGTTTAATAGAAGTATACAAAATTAATGAGGTCGTCCAATCCAGCGAGTTGATTATTTAGTTGTTTACTCACCTATCTTATTTCACCTAGAATGCAAAAATAGACTAGGCAAATTAAACAGGGTTTTTTGTTTCCCCTTTGACAAGAATTTAGAGAGAAAAGGCACTCTCCCTACCACTCAATAGTTCAATCATAGCTTGAATACCGTTCAATAATTCAGAACCCTAATCAAGAGGCTAGCATCATCAAGAAGTAATGCTCAGATTACTCTTCCCATTCAAAAGCATCTAAAACCCAAAACAGCCTTTAACTTGAAACATTACAAAGCAGACGCAGTGTTTCCTTTAATATATTTCGCAAGTTATAACACTACCTAACACCTTATGCTACCTCAATATTTACGACGCCAGGTGCGACGTTTCCACGCTCGGAGAAGTTCATCAACCAATATCCCGCGCTGATCTGCTTCCCTCTTTTGAATGCGAAGCATTTCTTAGCAAACTTCAGCGACTTTGAGCACATCTATCTATCTATCTATCTATCTATCTATCTATCTATCTATCTATCTATCTATCTATCTATCTATCTATCTATCTATCTATCTATCTATCTATCTATCTATCTATCTATCTATCTATCTATCTATCTATCTATCTATCTATCTATCTATCTATCTATCTATCTAGACACCTATTACTTTAAGCTCTCCTGGCAGTTTGGATGATGAGATCAACACCAAACTTGGTATGGCATTACATGACTGTATCGCGACCATAATTGGCTAGTCACACCATGAATATCCCGAAATGTATGTCATGACTGCCTTGATTTACATATCATGGTCTCGCTGGCCTTGAGGTGCTTTCTTTCACCTGTTATGTTGCAAAATTGGCATGGTATGACATGACTGCATGGCGAACACAAGTGACAGACGGTAACATGGAAATAATGACATGCATGTCATGTATTACATGTAATAATATACAGTTGCACTAGGCTGGGGTCTGAGCCATCTTCTTGATTTCTAGCACTTTCTTTCTCTTCGTCTCCCTCCAACCCTGCCTAACATCCACGTGCACACACCCTCTTTGAAAACTCATCCCTCCTGGGGTGATACATGAAGACGTTTCCAATGGTCGCAAACTCCAGCGCACCATCATCGTTGGTGTAACCAACCCTTTTGAGAACGCTATGTTGTCATATGCGATCGGCACCACGCAGTAAGGTCCCATGTACACCTGCTTTGTGTCGGGAAGGCCTTTTCTGAAGAGCACCAGATCGTTCAGTTGTATCTGAGGTATCCGCGTGTTGTGGCGGCGGTCAAAGTTTCTCTGCATATTTTCCCGATATCGCTAGTAGGCTTCCGATGTTTTTTTGTTTTTTGCACAATTGCAGGCGCCCTGCAATGCAAAGTTCTTGATCAGCAGGAAGCACGGGTACCCTTCCGAAAGCTGCAAAATATGGGCTACTGCCGATGCTCGCAGTGTGCGCCCAATTGTGATGAGCAACAGTTGCCTCCAAGCAGCACTTCCATCCACCCTGAAAACCGTAGATACATTGAAATGAACTGCTTCAACTTCCGAATGATTCTTTCATCCATGCCATTTCTCGCAGGTTGGTACGGAGTGCAGCGTCGCAATACAACTCGTTCCTTCACCCAATCTTGCAAACGCTTACTGAGAAACGCTGGTGTATCATCTGATATTACTAATTTTGTATTCTTGAACATCTCTCGACTCAAAAGAGTGATCACACTGTTTGCGTCTTCCTTTCCCGGCAATGCAGCCACTACTCCTGTGCACTGGTCTATCGCCACTGGAAAAGACTGCGTTCTTCTTACTCCTGCAGCCTTCTTCTTGAGCTCTGCGAAATCCAGACGAATGACTTCCAATGGTACGTCGGAATGTTGAGGCGAAACCATCTCGTCTGTTCTCTGAAAGTGCTTGGTTTTATGAACTTGACATTGATGACAAGACTGAGGATACCGCTGAACCTCCTCTTTCATGTGTTTCCACTGAAAATGCTGACTAATCTTGTGATATGTCTTCTAAAAGCCGTCATGTCCACCTGAGTGCGGAAAGTCGTAATGAAGTTCCAAAATTCGAGCCACCATTGTTTCTGGGACTGTGAACCTTCCGTTGTGGAACTTAAGTTCGTCAGTTCCCTCCCACAACAATGTTGCATTATTATTTTCCTGGGCAGGAATTACCGCATGTCTTGAAAGCGCATCTGCGTCTTCGAGGTGTTTTCTATGCCTGTGATGCACCACAAAAGTAAACTGCCGGAGTTCACTCACCCACCTAGCAATTTTTTTCTCGAGGTTCGGCGAGGTTAAAGATATTCGTTAAGGCTTGGTGATCCGTACAGAGCGTGAAGCTCCTGCCATCGAGATAAGGTCTAAATTAGCGTATGGCCATTAAGACTGCCAAGGCTTCCTTCTCTGTAGTCGTGTAGTTCAGTTGCGTTTTCAAAAAGGTGTACGAATA